CACTCTTCGGGTGCTGCTGCACATAGCCGCTCAGCGCGACTACGAGCTCCACTCTCTTGACTTCAGCACTGCTTTCTTGCAGGGTAGCCTGCACGAGGAGATCTGGCTGCGCCGTCCACCTGGCTTCACTGGGACTTTCCCTACTGGCACCCAGTGGAGCCTCCGACGGCCAGTCTACGGTCTCCGCCAGGCACCGCGTGAGTGGCACGACACACTGAGGACTACGCTTACGGCTCTTGGGTTTGCTCCCTCTACGGCTGACCCGTCGTTGTTTCTGCGCACCGACACTTCTTTGCCGCCGTTCTACATCCTCGTGTACGTCGACGACTTGGTCTTTGCCACAGCTGACACTGCTGGACTAGCCTACGTGAAGTCCGAGCTGCAGAAGAGACACACGTGCACAGACCTGGGTGAACTGCGCAGCTACCTTGGCTTGCAGATCACTCGGGACAGAGCACGCCGCACCATTACTTTGACTCAGTCACACATGGTGCAGCAGGTCCTTCAGCGCTTCGGCTTCACGTACTCCTCGCCTCAGGCCACTCCTCTGTCTACTCGCCACTCGCTCTCAGCTCTGCCTTCGGATGAGTCCGTAGAGTCGAGTGGCCCGTACCCAGAGCTTGTTGGCTGCCTCATGTACCTGATGACCTGCACACGACCTGACCTTGCATACCCTCTTAGCATTCTTGCACGCTATGTTGCTCCTGGGAGACACCGACCAGAGCACATGGCTGCAGCGAAGAGGGTGTTGCGCTACTTGTGCAGTACGTCGGGCATGGGGCTAGTGCTTGGAGGGCGGAGTCCAGTGGTCCTCACTGGGCACGCGGACGCTTCTTGGGCTGACGACCAGGCTACGCAGCGGTCGTCGCAGGGTTACACCTTCAGTCTTGGTTCCGGCTCTGTCTCGTGGCGGGCTACTCGCTCGTCCTCTGTTCTCGGCTCCAGTTGTGAGGCTGAGATCTACGCCGGGGCCATGGCTGCACAGGAGCTTCGCTGGCTCACCTACCTGCTGACTGACCTTGGAGAGCCGCCTCGTTCTCCTCCAGTGCTGTACGTAGATAACAAGGCCATGCTGGCCTTGTGTCGAGAGCAGCGCTTGGAGCACAGAACGAAGCACATTGCTCTCCGTTACTTTCTTGCTCGTGAGCTGCAGCAGCGTGGTCAGTTGCGACTTGCGTACGTGGCCTCTGAGGCCAACACTGCTGATGTGTTCACCAAGGCACTTGCGCCTTGTGACCATCAGCGCTTCTGCACTCAGCTGGGTCTTGTACCTGTCTTGCCTCACTTGCTCTCCTCTTGACCTTGCTTGTACTGTCACATATATATACCTGCTCTTCCTTGTCTAGCTCTATATATATATATGCACTCCTGCATGTGAACTGGCCTTGTGGCCTTGTCGTTGTGCTCGGACTGTGTGGTGACTTTGTGATCCACCCTGAGCTTGTTGTGCTTTGCGTGACTGGTCTTGTGACCCCTTGTTCTCCCCCACTTTGCCTATGGGGGTGTGTCAGAACATACATATAGCTTATGCTGTTGTGTAGGCTATAGTGGGGTATCCCATAGGGGGTACAACCCAATTAGGGTTTCCTATATGTACTCACTTCATTCATAGTTCATCCATTCTTGTTCAAATCTTCTCAGTAACCCGCGCTCCGGGCCTCCGCCTCGACATTTTCCCAACCTCAGTTCCAGGCCCGTCGCGCGTCAACCACAGTTCATTACCGTTACCACTGTAGATTCGCTATATATTCTTCGCTCATGCCTTCGCTCATTGTACTCTTGCTTCGATAGTGCAATTCTCGTTCGATCACTTAATTGCACTCGTAACAGTGGTTCACTTCGGAACTCGTCTGATGGCTGAAAAACGAAAAACACATACCGTAACTTATAACTTTCCAAAACAATGCAAAAAAACTTGAGTAATCAAGTTGGACCCAACTAGAACGAGGGGGTCACCATTTTAGCTACGGGCTTTAATAATGGTCGGAGATACACCGACAATGGAAGTTGACGATACGCTGAAATTAACATGGTAATGAACTTGAAGGTAACACGGCCTTGGGAATGCATGGCTGAGCCTGATGCTTGTTGCCTGATAACTGGAGAGACCGAGGTCAGCATAAATTACCAGACTTCCATTTCGAATGTTAAAGACGATACTGTTAAGAAGATCAGAACTCGGCGTGCATTGTAGCGAGGACGTTGACTTGTTCAAGCTCGTCAGAATCCATGGCCGCCAGATGGCGGAAAAGGCGGAGAGCATTGCAGGCAAGGCTTTCGTGGTGTGTGATGGACCCGATAGAGCTGTTACAATCCTCGCCGTGGTGTGATCCTTCAGAATCCGGTGTGTTTTATGGAGTGCTTGTAATGATGTATTGAGCCCATATGTAAGGCGTTTTTTCAGTTTTACACATCTGATTCCACCGCGTACAACACCGTTCATGGGCTAAACTTTTCTTTGCCAACATTCCATTCCTCTTCACTTCTCCACGAACCAAGCCACTCCAACGCGTTCCTCCTCACAACACTCCCATTTGTGCGGGGTGAACTTGGGTCCGAGGGGTGGGAACACCCCCAGACCATCCCAACCGAACCGAGCCAGGGTCCGGACGTCAGTATGGTTACGGGTTTCGCAAATGCTCGTGAGAGGACTGGCAGAATTTTGGCGATGTCGCCATCATCCGGACCTTAGATAGTGACATGACAATGAATGGGCCCTTACTGTGAGGTGTCTGACTTTTCCTCCAATAAATCCTTGTGACGCGATTCTTCATCCCAGTCGTTTTTGCTTTCGCACACAGCCAGGAAACGCCCAATCGAAGCCCACGATGCCACCTGTGTGCCAGCAGCAAAACCTGGCACCACCACAACCCCGTCCGGCACCACCACAACCCCGTCCGGCACCACCACAACCCCGTCCGGCACCACCACAACCCCGTCCGGCACCACCACAACCCCGTCCGGCGCCTCCACAACCCCGTCCGGCACCACCTCAACCCCGTCCGGCACCACCACAGCTTCGTCCACCACAACACCTTCAAGCGACGCTTCAGAATCTTCCAGCAACATTGCAGAATCTTCAAGCGACATTTCAGATTCTTCCAGCAACGTTTCAGGACCTTCCAACTACGTGTCAGAAATTCCTCCTAGCTACGTTTCAGACTCTTCCAGCAACGCGTCAGATTCTCCTATCTACACGTCAGAATCTCCCAACTAAACTCCAGAACCTTCCAGCGGTGGCAACTCCGTACCATCCTATTCCTCTACTTGCGCCAAGCCAAATCAGTCGCCACATCTGAGAAGAGTTGAGGGACGTATTGCGTAGGGACAGGGATTGGTTGCTGTTGCTGTGCTTCTCAGACAGGTTGGAGAGTTAGTTGGTGAACTGTTCTCGGGAAGGTCGTTGAGCAGGTGCCAGGCAGGATAGCTGGCAAGTTCTCAAGAAGAATAGAAGCAACCAATCTGGTATCATAGCAGCACTGCGTGTTATCAGACCCTCCCTGTCCGGGCTGGTTAGATTTCTCCTGTTCGCACCCCCACTTCTCCCCTTGTTTTCTCTTTCTAGGTTTGTTGTAATCTTTGTTTTACCCATCTAAATATTTGTTTCTGGATCTTGTTGCAATTCTACACATGTGGTTTCAAATCATAGAGATGACCCTGCTTTTGACCTTTGTTTCTGGTGGCTTCCATCAATTCACTCTAGTTTTCACTACTGTCAGCACCATCACTTAGGAGCGTGATCAGCCATTTTCAATTTGCTGTTCGTAGCTATACCAGATTATATCATTACACAACATTCTAACCTTGTTTGTATTTGAACCAATAAGCGATCTTGGCGATATTTTGGCGAAGTCACCATTAGTGGCTGCATGCAAGGGAATCACCAGCAATTGTTGTTGTCAGATTCTTGCGATAGAGACTGTCCATATCGGAGACATTCGATTGCCTCGCGTCGCGTCACTTGTGTTTGTGTGTCCCGCGCCCTCAGAACAGAACGCTTGTCTGGCATCACATCGGAATTATTGTTGTGAATGGGGTCTTTACAAGATCCGAAGTCAGCGGGAATGGGCCCTTCCGTCCTGGTGTCCACAATAATTTTGCCGAGCACGACCCTCGTTCCACTCCCCCATTTTTTAGCAAACATTGTGCTGACATTGAATGTGGATCCTAAGTGTTGCGGAGAGACCTAACATTTTCGACTTCAATAATTATGTCCAATAAATCCATTTCCATTTCTGTTTTCGCCAGCGTTGTCACCTTCGCACACACCTCAGGAAACGCTTATTCCAAGGCGCGCTGGCGACTAAAGAAACGCGTTCCCTGCAGCGACTCCTGTCGCAGCGGTCGCACATGGCCAAGGCCTTGCCGCGCCCGTCGGGAGCTGCTTCCCATCACAGAGGCCCCTCGTCGCGCAGAAGCTCCGTGGAGCGGATGATGCGCCGCACGCTAGTAGGCTCGCTGCGATGCCCATTTAAGCACCCGTGCCCGATCGGCCTCGTCACCTCTTCCGCTTTACCAATCACTAGTAGCACCAATCATTCATCTAGCACCTCTTCCCGTCGGAGTTGCTCCGCTGCACATCTGCTACTACTCGAGCTATTGGAATTACTCGTGTCGTTCAAGGGTGAAGCTTGAGCACCATCCGTCCACCGGAGAAGCGGCAGCATGGGGAATGGCAAGGCCGTGCGTGCGCTGCTCGCCATCGTCGAAGTCATCGCCGGTACGCTCCGTCATTCGCTCCGCTCTCTCTCGCCGTCGTCGTGCGTGCGTGCTCCCATGCGCATCATCGAGTCCACGCCGCAATGCGTTCAGTTCCATGCTCTCATGCGCCACGGACCACACCACAGTGCTCTCATGCGCACGCAATGCATTTCCAATGAACACGCCCATGCCTCCGTGACCCTCCCATGCCACGTGTCCCTCCCTCTCTTGCAGCGTGTCTCCCGCAGCCGTCGCTCGCAGCGGAAATCCCATCGGCCCCAGCGAGGATTGCCACGCAGATGACTATCAACGGCCGTCCTTTTAGCTTCGAGTCGCGCCGCTGTGTCAACATCCCCGCCATGCCGGGTGCAGTCAAGGCTCGCGTGGAAGTCTCTCGACAGCAGGGAAGCGATGCTGGCAACGCTGCTACGTGCCGCGCAATCCGGTTCTTCCAGGATCCCGCGTGCACAGGCCAGACGCTGGACCTTCTCCCCATCATCGGCACACAGAGGTGCGCCTTTTATCCCTGCTCGCATTGCTTCCATGCTTTGAACGCCGTTCGGTTGTTCCCCACCAGACGCTGGACCTTCTCCCCATCATGGGCGCACAGAGGTGCGCGGCACGCCTTCTATTCGTGCTCGCCTTGCTTCCATGCTCGCCTTGCTCCCATGCTCGCCTTGCTCCCATGCTCGCCTTGCTCCCATGCTCGCCTTGCTCCCATGCTCGCCTTGCTCCCATGCTCGCCTTGCTCCCATGCTCGCCTTGCTCCCATGCTCGCCTTGCTCCCATGCTCGCCTTGCTCCCATGCTCGCCTTGCTCTTAACGCCGCTCGGTTGCTCCCCCACCTGACCAACGACCCGCGCACTCGTGGCGCCCTCCCTCCCCCTGTGTGCAGTGTCAAGTATGTTCCCGGTGTAGTGACGTCCGCCCTCTGCCTCACTGGTGCGTCCCCTCTTGCCTTGCCCCTCCTCCATTCCGCTCACCGCAAACTCCTCTTCCTCTCTATCGCACTCTCTCCTCTCTCTCTCTCTCTCTCTCTCTCTCTCTCTCTCTCTCTCTCTCTCTCTCTCTCTGTATATATATATATATATCTATCTCTATCTCTATCTCTATCTCTCACTCTCACCCTCACCCTCACTGAACGCTACCCTGACTGGATGGACCCACGAGCTCACCTGCCCTCTCTCCCTCTCTCTCGCCCTGCCTGTGCTGCAGAAACCTCACCACCTGCCACCGGCACCACCGGCACCACAGCACCTTCCGGCAACATTCTGGAATCCGCCAACTCCGTTTCAGAGTCTGCCCGGGCCATGCTGGAATCCACCCTTGGCGTTACAGATCCTGGTACCGGCACCGCCATTTCAGGGGTTTCTAATGCCTCTATCGATCCTAGTACCGGTAACAACACTGGCGAAGGACCTGCCGCCACTGACGCTGCAGTTCCTGTGGTCTTCACTCCAGGCACTTTCACCAACGATGCAGTGAATCCCACCAAATCCCCCGAACCTTCCGTGAACGCGTATGACACTTACACTACTGCTGCCACCGTGCCGGGCTACTGAGCTGAGCTGAGCCAACGGAGGTAGGAATGAGGTGTGCAAAGTGATCGCCACAGCGCAGAATAAATGAGGGATATACCACCGTATTGTGTAGTTCGCGAAGGTACAGTCCTTCCTTGGTGGCTGAGCAGAGTGCGATATATTCTGCTTCAGCTGAAGAGAGGGCGATTAATTCCTGTTTGCTTGACTGCCAGGAGATAGGACCGATAGGCTCGAAGCGGTAGATGTAGCCGGTGCGGGAGCGCCTGTTGTCGGAGTCGCCGGCGTGATCGGCGTCGACGTACCCGATTAGCTTAGGCGTTATAGTTGTGTTCTTATGGTAGGTCAGGCCGATTGTCGGGGTGCTAACGAGGTAGTGAAGAGCGCGGTCGAGCTCCGCCAGATGTTCCGCTTCGGGTTTCTTGAGGTAGGTGGCGAGCTGGCTTACATAGTACGATAGGTCCGGGCGGCAGGTGACAGCTGCGAAGAGGAGGCATCCCAGTTTCCTCTGGTAGTCGCGTATGCCGGCGGGGTTGAGTAGAGCGGAGCTTTCCTTGTGGTTTCCTGCCGTGTAGCGGTATGGCGTGGAGATGACGGTCGGTGTGAGTGCGAAGTGCTTGGCGATGGTATCGGCGTATTTCCCGGCGCTGAGGTAGATCGCATCCTCCTCTTCCCGTATGTTGAGCCCGAGATATTGCGTGACGGTAGATGAGACTGTGAGTGTAAGGTCTTGCTGCAGCTCCCCTTCGAACCAGGTAGTGACGCTGTCGGTTGAGCCGATGTAGAGCAAATCATCTACGTAAACGATTAGCAAGATGTAGTCGGTGCCCTTTGTGAGCCGGTACATGCCTTGGTCGTGAGGTAGTTGGCGGAATCCGATCCGAATGAGTCTTGCGTGCAGGTACTCCTGCCACAGCCTCGGGGCTTGTTTGATGCCATAGAGCGACTTCAGCAGCTCACAGACTTGATTAGGCTCTCCGTTGGAGCCGTGCGGTAGCTCGACGAAGATTTCTGCATCGACGGGTGTGTAGAGGAATGTGTTGGCGACGTCAATTTGCCGCAGCGTCCTTTTCTTCATGGCGGCGATCGCGACGAGAATTTGCAGCGAGGTGTGTCGGCTGACTGGAGCGAATGTCTCGGTGAAATCGCGTCCATGTTCCTGGTCGAAGCCGCGTACAACCCAGCGTGCTTTGAACTTGTCGATGGTGCCGTCAGCCCTTGTCTTCACGCGGAAGACCCACTTTCCGGTGAGAATCGTCTTGTTCCGTGCTACGCCGATAGGAACAACCTTCCAGGTGTTGCGTTCCTCCAGTGCTTTTAGCTCCTTGTCCATGGCTTCGCGCCATTTTTCCTTATGCTCCCCCCCCAGAGCCTGCTGAACTGTCGCAGGCTCCTTAGGAAGCACAGCGCCGTGGACCGCGGTGACCAGGCCAAGTATCTGGAGGCCACTCTGTGTGTAGCGGGGAAGTGATGTGTCCTCGGGATAAACTGATTCGTCTCCCGCTTCTGGTGTAGGGTTGAAGTTTGGTCCTACACGTTCTGCTTCGTTGGTGTTGACTTGTGCAGGTGTAACGTAACCGTTGTCGGCGAAGTGGTAATAGGTTTCGGCGTTCATGCTTTCGCGTGGATTTTCGTCATCCATTGGCACGTCGACGGAGCAGTAGGGGAGGGGTCCGGCTTCTTCCGAGGCTCCTTCCACGTTCTACTTGTCCCAATCAGCTTCGTCGTCTGCCGAGGCGAAGGCTCGGGTGCCAAGAAAACCATCGGAGCGATCGGGGTTTCCTTCTTGCAAGTTGGCGAGGTAATACCGGAGGGTGAGGTTTTCGTAGAAGATGACTGGTAGGTTGTAGTGGGGTACACACTGTAGAGTACAACCCCTTAGGGTTTTCCTTCTTGTATCATTCTCATCTTAGTTAAAATCATCCTTGCCTTAGTCTCGACATGGTATCTAGAGCAGGAGGTCTCTAGGACCTAAGAATAGGGCCCACCCGTAACTGTGTTACTTCACCTACTGCCTGCCTGCCTTGCCTGCTGCTCGCGCGCGCCTCGGCTGCTCGCGCACGCGCGTCATTTTTTTTTTTTTTTTCGCGCGCACCTCGGCTGCTCGCGCGCGCGTCACTTTTTTCGCGCGCGCCACTACTGCAGCGCCGCGCGCCGGCCCGCGTCGCCCGCGCAGCCCGCGTCGAGCCCGCGCAGCCCGCCGCCGCGCACAGCCCGCCGTCGCGTGCAGCCCGCCGTCGCCCCGCGCGCCGCGTCTGTCGCCAGAGTTCTGATAACACGGCAGCAGTTGCAGCGGTATTATTACTGGCCCGAAATGTTGACCGGCGTTCAACGATACGTGGCATCATGTCCCACTTGCCAGATCATAAAGTCATCACGGAAGCGGCCGGCAGGACAGTTGCTGCCGATACCACCCCCAGAGCGTGCTTGGCAGCAGGTGACGATGGACTTCGTCACGGGGTTATCGGCCGGAGCGAGTGGGAACGACGCGATCCTGGTCGTCGTCGATCGACTAACGAAAATGGCACACTTCGCAGCCTACAAGAAATCAATCACAGCCGAAGAAACAGCTCGCCTATTCATCACCACCGTCGTTCGACTGCACGGGATACCAGCAGCGATCATCAGCGACGGAGACACGAAATTCACCAGCAACTTCTGGCGGAACCTGTGGCAGCAGTTCGGCACGCGAATACAGTTCAGTTCTTCGTACCACCCCAAAACCGACGGACAGACAGAAAGAACAAATCAGACCATGGGAGCAACTCATCCGAGCCACATGCGACGACCCAACCACCTAGGAACAACAGCTGCCACTCATCGAGGCTTCGATTGGGCGTTTCCTGGCTGTGTGCGAAAGCAAAAACGACTGGGATGAAGAATCGCGTCACAAGGATTTATTGGAGGAAAAGTCAGACACCTCACAGTAAGGGCCCATTCATTGTCATGTCACTATCTAAGGTCCGGATGATGGCGACATCGCCAAAATTCTGCCAGTCCTCTCACGAGCATTTGCGAAACCCGTAACCATACTGACGTCCGGACCCTGGCTCGGTTCGGATGGGATGGTCTGGGGGTGTTCCCACCCCTCGGACCCAAGTTCACCCCGCACAAATGGGAGTGTTGTGAGGAGGAACGCGTTGGAGTGGCTTGGTTCGTGGAGAAGTGAAGAGGAATGGAATGTTGGCAAAGAAAAGTTTAGCCCATGAACGGTGTTGTACGCGGTGGAATCAGATGTGTAAAACTGAAAAAACGCCTTACATATGGGCTCAATACATCATTACAAGCACTCCATAAAACACACCGGATTCTGAAGGATCACACCACGGCGAGGATTGTAACAGCTCTATCGGGTCCATCACACACCACGAAAGCCTTGCCTGCAATTCTCTCCGCCTTTTCCGCCATCTGGCGGCCATGGATTCTGACGAGCTTGAACAAGTCAACGTCCTCGCTACAATGCACGCCGAGTTCTGATCTTCTTAACAGTATCGTCTTTAACATTCGACATGGAAGTCTGGTAATTTATGCTGACCTCGGTCTCTCCAGTTATCAGGCAACAAGCATCAGGCTCAGCCATGCATTCCCAAGGCCGTGTTACCTTCAAGTTCATTACCATGTTAATTTCAGCGTATCGTCAACTTCCATTGTCGGTGTATCTCCGACCATTATTAAAGCCCGTAGCTAAAATGGTGACCCCCTCGTTCTAGTTGGGTCCAACTTGATTACTCAAGTTTTTTTGCATTGTTTTGGAAAGTTATAAGTTACGGTATGTGTTTTTCGTTTTTCAGCCATCAGACGAGTTCCGAAGTGAACCACTGTTACGAGTGCAATTAAGTGATCGAACGAGAATTGCACTATCGAAGCAAGAGTACAATGAGCGAAGGCATGAGCGTGAGAGAATGAGAACGAGAATGAATGAACTATGAAATGAAGTGAGTACAAATATGAAACCCTAATTGGTTGTACCCCCTATGGGATACCCCACTATAGCCTACACAACAGCATAAGCTATAATGTTCTGACACACCCCCATAGGCAAAGTGGGGGAGAACAAGGGGTCACAAGACCAGTCAAGCAAAGCAAAGCAAGCTCAGGGTGGATCACAAAGTCACCACACAGTCTGAGCACAGGGTCAAGGCCACACTGCCAGTTCACATGCAAGAGTACACACATATATATAAAGCTAGACAAGCAAGAGCAGGTATATATATATGTGAGAGTACAAGCAAGGTCAAGAGGAGAGCAAGTGAGGCAAGACGGGCACAAGACCCAGCTGAGTGCAGAAGCGCTGATGATCACAAGGCGGAAGTGCCTTGGTGAAGACATCAGCAGTGTTGGCCTCAGAGGCCACGTACGCAAGCCGCAACTGTCCACGTTGCTGTAGCTCACGAGCAAGGAAGTAGCGGAGAGCAATGTGCTTTGTTCTGTGCTCCAGTCGCTGCTCTCGACACAAGGCCAGCATGGCCTTGTTGTCTACGTACAGGACTGGAGGAGAACGAGGCGGCTCTCCAAGGTCGGTCAGCAGGTAGGTGAGCCAGCGAAGCTCCTGTGCAGCCATGGCCCCGGCGTAGATCTCAGCCTCACAACTCGAGCCAAGAACAGAAGACGAGCGAGTAGCCCGCCACGAAACAGAGCCGGAACCAAGGCTGAAGGTGTAACCCTGTGACGACCGCTGCGTAGCCTGGTCGTCAGCCCAAGAAGCGTCCGCGTGCCCAGTGAGGACCACTGGACTCCGCCCTCCAAGCACTAGCCCCATGCCCGACGTACTGCACAAGTAGCGCAACACCCTCTTCGCTGCAGCCATGTGCTCTGGTCTGTGTCTCCCAGGAGCAACATAGCGTGCAAGAATGCTAAGAGGGTATGCAAGGTCAGGTCGTGTGCAGGTCATCAGGTACATGAGGCAGCCAACAAGCTCTGGGTACGGGCCACTCGACTCTACGGACTCATCCGAAGGCAGAGCTGAGAGCGAGTGGCGAGTAGACAGAGGAGTGGCCTGAGGCGAGGAGTACGTGAAGCCGAAG